TCAGGCCTATTGTTGGAGGCCTGCAGTTTAATCCCGCTGCTCTGAAAGGGTGGGATTTGGCCTGAAGGGGGCGCACTTCGTGGAAGTCGCGCACAGACTGAGACTGACTTTATTTATCGTTGATCTTTTCATGTTTCCAGGCAGTGGGATTTTCACAAAATCCAGCGTGTCTAGCTTTAGAGATATGTTTATCGTAGTTTCTTTGTGGCTGCCTGTTTTTGTTTCCCCCCCGGATGCCAGCCCACACAATCTTCTGTGGATGTTTTTCTTGTGTGTGTGCGTTTCGTTTTATTTATTCCTGCTGCACGAGCAGTCGCCTTGCCGACTATCAATGCAGACGGAGGCTTTGACACCGACTTGAAGATACATGCCTCTACATCCACGGAAGTTCAGGTGTCCGCGGCCCCCGATTGGATTGACGGGCCGTACAAAAATACACATGTGCGCGTTGGTGCAGCGAGCAAAAGAGTGGGGGGGCGGACGGAGCTGCTGATGGCGCTGGAGCTGCAGCTCAGCCTGGAATGGCGCTCGATAGCGTGGCTGCTGCCTGACACGGCTCCCGGCGACGACACCCATTTATTCTGTTGACATTTCGCCCGCCAAAGGGTTGCCGTTAGCCTGGCATTTTCGGGCCGCTGAGGGCCCAGTGACTGAGGTGTAAATGCCAGGCCGCTGTCCCACTCCGTCCCCCGGCAAACGTTCTCCTGCTAGCTGCCTTTTCAGGATATTTACAGGCATATGGTAGCTGCCAGGCTGCCGTTTCCATAACATCCCAGCATTGCCTTTGCTTTTCCCCTTTCTGTGATGGGGGGGGGGGGACTGAAAGGGGCGGGGCTTCTAGGCGGTCGCTGCTTTGTATTGGCTTGACTATTCAACCGTCTTCCAATGAGCTGAATGCTGCATCATTCAAACACTGCTGCAGTATTTCCTACTTTAAAGAGCAGTGAGTAAGTTTCAGAAGCCTCATTAAGATCTTCTAGAACTCGCTAGAACATTCTGGGCTGCCAGTTTAAATTTGTAGCCCTGTTTCATTCTCTCTCTCTTCTTATTACTTATGCGTTGCTCTGTGATGAAATACCGGCTTCCACTTTCATTATATTCTTTTTTGTAATCCATCACCTGATTTAGACCTTTCTCTGGTCTGCCTGGTCAAGGGAAACACATTTTGTGTAATTTTCCTGCAGGCTGGTACAAACCCTGTGGATGTCACAGGAACATTGACCCCATCGTGGGATAAATAATAGCAGCATGGCGTGCAAACAGACACGCACCTGACAGGTGCTCCGATTGGCTGAATTTCTTTTCATTTATGGGTGAGATGTCCATAGGCCAGAGACGATATCTGAGGTCCCAAACGCAGCCGTCGGTGCCTAGGAGCCTGGGATGAAGTGACTGCCACCGTGCTCTGGGGTTTAAGGAAAACCCAGGTACAGAAAGTGCACCCCCGACGCTTCAGGGATACCTCTGATAGGACAGCAGTAATAGCCGACAGACATTACAGATATCACTACGTGCCGTAATTCTTGGTGTAGAGGGGCAGTTTTTTTCCGGGTCTCCTCACTGCAGCACACTGGTTATCTCTGTGCGCGACTGATGTGGGATTTTTGAATTCTAATGTTTTCTTGATTTGTTTGATCCCGTCTGCTACCTCGGCGGCACAGGGACTGACCTTGATTTCGGGAGTAGAGCGCTTTATGAGTCTAGGCTGCCTCATTAAAGTGAATGAGCCTGTGTGCCCCCCCCCCCGCCTGTGGAGGTACCTTCCTGAATGGGGCGCCCAGCTTCCTGCATCCGCGCCGCGGCTGTATAAATTATGCATAATTGATGTTTTGCTGTTTGCCGATTATATTTTTAAAAGGCGTCAAATGACTGGCGGGCACAGCCAGTGTGGGTGAGGCGGGAGGGGGGCCTTCATCAAGCCCATAGTTTTCTCTAATCTGTTTTCCCATGCTCAGCATGAGGGGGGGGCCTGATTGAAACGGGCACTGATGCATGCTGGGAGCTAAGTATAGAGGCGCTGTTTTCTGACTGTGGCTGGCCACGCCCCCCCATCGCGCGGCGCCTCGGCGGAGCGTTCGCGCATCGCTGACCACGTTGCCATCACCTTGCTTAATCGCCGTACGCCCCTCCCCGGCAAATTAGCAGATGGCGAGTACACGGGTACAACGCTTTTTTTTTTTTTTCTTTTTTCATCGGCGGAGAAAATGGCGTGTTGGCTGGACGGGCTTTAGAAAAATCCATCCATCCGCAGCGGGGATGAGGCAGGGGAACGCCCTTCGTCACAAGACACGCAGTCACACACTAGGGGCTGTTTAAGGGCACGGATTTGCCTGCATGTCTGTGGGCCGCGTATGACATGGCGAGACCATGCGAAGCACACACGAGGAGTGCGGGGGTGGAATTCAGACACGCCGCCCTAGAGGTGTGAGGTGGCAGTGTGACCCACTGTGCCTCCAGATGATGTATATGCATAATAAATATGGCAGTAATCACACCCCTCCCTGCCTGGGGCTTATGCAGTGGGGGGTGTCCCGTTTGTTTTGCCCTGCGAGGTGCAGGTGCTGCAGAAGCTTTGACGGTATCATTATCTCAGTGCCATTGGGTCGGCCCTTACCCCCGCCACACACACTCCCGTCCTGCTTCCTCCCCCAGTCCCCACGGTTTCGCCCACCGACCGCGCTCCCAGGTGCACCCCAGCCCCGTCGCCTGTAGGGGGCGCCAAAGCTCTCGCCTCCAGCTGTGCTCCTAATTAATTAGCTCTGCTCCAGCTGTTCACTGCATGCCGATGTGCATGTGAGTCACCGATCTAGGCGAAGGCGTGTTTTCGCGGCGTACGTTCGGTTCTGTCTGAGGCAAACATAACCTCGTGTCTGCCGTGTTTTTCCGCTATTTGTGTAGCATAATGTAAAAAAAAAAAAAAACAGTTGCAGTTAATTGATTTGTTCTAGGGTGCACGGTCGTTAATTCATAAGTAATTAGTTTTGATCTGGCGGCTGAGCGCTAATCCCCGTCGCTTTTAAGGCCGAGCACAGCGGCGAATGACAGTCCGACGCTGTGTCAGAAAGCCGACTGCGTGCTCTGTGCTCGGATGTCACTCGGGGCCTCATCGGGGGGAGGGGGCTGGCAGAGGGGCTGGCTCTGGGTTCTGAAGGACAATCGGACCCCCCCCCC